AAGTGGAATTAAATTTGCAAATGATGAGAAGTGAGTTCCCTCTTTGCTAGGGTTTCAGCTGTGGCTGCAGTGATCCATGGCAAGCATCAAGGATGATAGACATCAGCCTGCACTCTCTGCTCTTTTTTTTTTTTTTTTCATTGAAGCGTTATACTTGCTGGAAGGATTTCAGTTACTCTCACAGCCCTGAGTGCAACACAGCTTTGCACTGTGGGGCTCTTTCTTTTTTAATGGTGAGCACAGAGAGTACTCAGGGATATGCGAATTCGGTCCATGTTTTTCAAGTGTGTTACATGTTAAACAGTAGCACTGGGACACTGAAGGTCTGAGAAGATTTCTCTGCCGTGCGTTTGCATAAGCCACGCTGCTTAATGTAATAACATTGTCTGTTTTCACTGACCCTTTCATCCAAGAGCCTGAGTATTTGTGAGTTTGGTTTCCAGTACTGAAACTAAACCAGACCTCGGAGGATGATGCTTTGCAGTGGGCTCAGCCACTTTTCTCTGGTCTAGTGCCTTTCACTAGTAAGTTTTCTATAGATCAAATGAATGGTGCCCAGAGAATAGTGTTTTCAAGATCTGAACTGCAGTTAATGACTTACAGGACATGTTTGTCATTGCAGTTTCCTTGAAAATCCAAGGGTGTTGGTGTTAGAGTGTGATGGGATTGCTCTGAACCTTTGTGACATTGTAGTTTCTTTTACAGTCTGAAATACATTTCCTGCTCCCTGCTCATCCTTCATGCTGAGGATGACCCGGTGGTACCATTTCATCTAGGAAAAAAGGTATGTATGTGGCTCTGCAAACTGATCTGGTGGGAGGAACTGGTGTGGATAGAATGACATCCCAGCCAGGCAAAAAGTCAGCAACAGGAAGATGTAGAAATGCATAGCCTGAAGGGGCTACAAATTCTGTGGTGTTGGGGGTAGCAAATCAATGGTGAAATGGAGCTAGAGCTAGCAAAGCTGGTCAAGCCAGGGCCCATAACCCACCTCTGAGAGGAGTGCTGGCTTGGCAGGGGTGACTCGTTTGGAGTGACACATGTCCCTGACCTGCGTCCCCTTGGTCTCAGCTGTACAGCATTGCTGCAACATCACGGAGTTTCCGAGACTACAAGGTGCAGTTTGTTCCCTTCCACACAGACCTTGGCTATCGGCACAAGTACATCTACAGGAGTCCAGAGCTACCTCGAATACTGCGGTAACAGCCTAGCTAACTGGGGTCTCCTCTGGCTTAGGGGTGGGGGCTGATGCCTGGGGCTTTGGGGCACATTGTGAGACGTGCCCAGGAGCAAGAGAGATGTGTAACAGGTGCCTGTATTGGGCAGCTCTTCTGAAAATCTGTTTGGTCTCCAGAGTGGGTGAGATACTGGGGCTGGTTTAGCACAAAGTCAGAGCTCTTCACCTCCCTGCAAAGCAGGTTTTGGAAAGGTGAGCCACAGAAAGCCGGGAGCACTTTTCTCTGGCTTATCTCTGCTGTGAGCTGGATGCTCTGGAGGAGGAGTTTGCAGAGCAGCTACTTCTGCTTGCCCTTTCTGGTGGGAGCCACTGATGGGTGAGAGCAAAGCTCAGTGCTGTTCCCTGTAGCTGCAAGCACTTGAGCCCTAGTATTTCCCAGGAGAACGGGAAGACCTGCAGGCTGCAGCGTGCATCAGAGTGTCAGAGAGCTGAGGGTCACTGCTGTGTCTTTTCCTTTTGCAGGGAATTCCTGGGAAAATCTGAACATGAACATCAACACTGAAGACTGGCTGTTTGGCAGCACAGAGATTTTCCTTTCTTTCCTTCCTTTCTCTCTTTTTCCTCCCTGCTCCCTCTGGGTCAGTCTGCCATTCTTCCATCCCTGGCACTAGAGGAGGTCAGGGATTTCCACTCCGGTCCTGTTGTGTACCCTTGGCAACTCCAGCTCCTGGCATCAGCATCTGTGATGGTAGAAGAAAGAAGTTGTTGTCTTCTTTTTTGACATGGATGGAGGCATGAAAACAGAACAGGAGCCGGTATCAAACCATGAAAAATGTAAGCACAACAGAGCCTGGCCAATCCAGCGTGGTACTGCTGAGGACAGACATTCCTAGGACACGTTGTGTCATGACCAAGAGTGTTTCTTTCACTTTTAATCACTGCTGCTGTTTTTGGCTCACGTAGAGACTCATTTATAGGCGAATGGCTTTTGCTGTGTCTCCATACCACAGGTGTCTCGCTTGAGTTTGAGGTGTTCTCTTTCCAGGAAATACATGTTTTGCCTTCCCTTTTTGCTAAGTGGCTGTAATTACAAATACACGGAAGATCCAGGTGGTGAGAGGTGTTTTTATTTAGCTCTTCAGTCACAATGTGTTGCAAGTGTTGGGCTAATTGCACACATTTGGAAATAAAATGAAAGATTTTTTTTTTGTTCTTCCTTTTCAAACATTTATTTAATGGAAAAGGTTACTGCCCTTTTATCTTTTCTGTACCCTTTTCCTTCTGAGCATAATTTCTGTTCCCATCCCTGCTATCCTCTGTGGAGCTCCTCCCTTTCTTCACATGCACTTCCTATTAGGACTGGAGTGACTTCTGTAGATAAATTGCAGACTTGGGAGTTTAAGCTGGAAAACATAACATTACTTTTTTTGCTTGATCTCCCTCTTCCATGAACAACGTGGGCCCAGGATGTGGGAATGAATGTCTTCCATTCTCCCTGTACATACCCAGACAGACAAGTGCTTCCTTTGGGTGGGAAGGGCAGGTTTTTTTCTTCACCTGCCTTTTAACTCTTTAGGTCAGGTTTTCCTGTTCCTGGTGGCTACACTGTTTTTCTGTAGTTAAAAGCAGGCAGTGGTATGCCTGTGTGCCCTGCCATCTCTGGGCATCCCAGGCACTTCCAGTAGCACTTCTCAGCTCATCTCACAGCTGTGGTTGGAGCACATTGTCCAGGAGGGGGAAGTGGGAAGAGATTCTGGGATGCCCTTGCCCTGCTTGGGGCTAGAACAGGGGCTGTTTCATGCCACCGACGAGCTACGCATTGAGCTGGAAAGGGCTGTGTGCTGACTCTGTGGTGTCTGACTGGTGACCTGGCCCTGCCTCCCCTGTCAGTCTGTGCAGACAATACCGGGTGCTGTAGGTGTAGTCACTAGTGCTCAGAGTGAATTGGGCTGAAGGGTCTGTTCAGGGTTGTACAGTGTAGTGTAAACTGCTCAGCATGCATCCAAGTTATACCTGCTGGCTCATACTAGTTGCAAAGCAGACAGTAGCTTTTTCTTGTACTGAGATTCTTCTGCCATAGCGTGGTTGTCACTGAGGTTTCTGACCCATGATACTCATAAGCTAACTGTGCCACTTTAAATTATGTTTGATGCACTTGTATTTATTGCACTGACAGCAGAGGAACGCTTACTTGGCTCTGGAGAGTGATGTGCACATTTCAGCTAATGTTGCTGCTGGCAGCTGGCTTGGGGCAAAGTGAAGCCTGAGCCAGAGGGTGGCTGGCTGCCTTTGTCCCCTGTGACAGAGCTGAGGGTCCAGCATGTGAACCGCTGGTGTTGGTGATCCCAGCACCGCCATTCCCGTTAGCAGGCCAGAGATATGCTTGGAAATTTAAACTGAAATGTTTATCTAAAGTGGTGTAGTTTTAATAAAGGCATTGACTGCTGATCACCTTCACCCTGGCAGTTTTTGGGACTTTTTCCCCAGTTGGGCAGGTCAGCTGGGTGTGTGGCAGGGCTGCAGTAGGGTTGTGCATGGGAGATGAGCTCGCAGCTGGGCCTGGGCAAGTCTTTGTGCCTGCTGCCAGCTCTGGGTGAGCGGCTTTCCTGGAGCCCAGTGGGTCTGTGCCTGTAGATCAGCTGCAGCTGAGGCTCTGCTTCCCCACTGGGGATGGGGGAAATGGGAGCTGCCTGTGGGACTTCTAACACAGGAGCCCTGTGTGCTGTTTGCAAACCCAACACTGTAACCCCCGTCTCAGTGCATATACTCATCACACCAGAGGTTCAGGTAAATGGCTTTTGCTCACGCTAGCCCAGTGCAGCCTCTGGTACCAGCTTCCTCCTGTACCCCCCATGCGCTGGCATGACTGACCTTTCTGCCATGGGCATGTTGTCCCCATGACGATGCCTGCACCATGCCAGCTGCAGGGGACCACATCCCATGAAGCCCCAGCTGGGGAAGGCCAGCATGGAGTAGTCACCAGTCAGCCCAAAGTCAAACCAGTAGGTGTTCTGGTTCTTTTAATGAGTTGGTGTCACACAGGGGAGTACTGGTGTGCTACACAGCACTACAGGTGTTAAACTCTGACCCCAGCACCGGGAGGGACACATGGAGCAGCATGCCCCAGCTGTGGAGGGACGGAAGAGATGTGATACCATTCACCCCCTGGTAGCACCCAGCATACAGCTGTGCCTGGAGAACCAAGAGCCTACTCGGGGCCTATGGTCCCAGCAGGGTCAGCCCCACAGCTGGCAGTGGCAGGTACAACCCTCTCTATGCAGACATGGAGGCTAAAAATCCCTGGAGTGGCTTGGTTACTGGGCTTCTAGTTAACAAAGAGGTGTGGGAAGAGGCTAGGGGGAAGCTCTGTGGCAAGGAAGTTGCTGATCCCAGGCCCTCTCTCCTTCCCCTTGTGGCACGTAGCATTTGACATTGGTGCCTGAACTGGGGCCAGCTGCTGTAACAGCCAGCTCCATCTTCTCTATGTTACTGGGGAAGGGGGTGACAAGCAGGGCAGACAGTGACCTCTCCCTCCCTTGCCCTTGGGGCTGGCAGACCAACTGGAGGAGGATGGAGGAGGATGCAAGACGCACTCCGTTGGCTAAACCTGCTCATGAGGCAGGGTCATGAAGGCCAGGCCAGGCTGCATGCAGGGGGAGAGGGAAGGATTTAGTTGGAAAGCCCTTGTTGAGCAGACAGCACAGCTGTGGAAGACTTATCTGAGGTCATCTCACTAAAAGCACTATGCAGCACATGCAGGCTGGATATGTGGGTACAAACAGAAGGTCCTTTCTCCTCTCCCCCAGCTCCTGTTTCTCAGTCAGGGCTTCTCCTCAGAGCATCCTTCTATTCCCCTGAGGGAAAGGCCTTGTTTCTGCAGAAACAGAAATGCAGGTGGGGCCTCCTGGGTTGGGAACCTATCACTCCTGCCTTCCTTCTGTGCTCACATCAATCTCGGGGGAGGTTGGGTGGGGGGATTTTTGTGGCAGATGGCTCCACACCCCAGATCTCCTGGGCATACTCTGTGATGGTCCTGTCACTGGAGAACTTGCCCGAGCATGCAATGTTCCTGATGACCTTCTTAGTCCACTCCCGGGGGTCCTGGGAAGAGGAGAGGCAATGTCAGCAGTCAGTCTCTCAAGCAGCTCTGTCCCACCTCGCAGCCTTGCAGAGCACTGGCTGTGCACGCTGGGCCGGTTTAAACACCGTGGTGTGTGGGGCTGCTGAAGCAGCAAAACTGCCTCGCCCTGCCCCATGGCCCCACGATGGGGTGTCCATGAAAAGGGCTCCACAGGAGTTCACTCATCCCAGCTGCCCGCCGTTTCCCTACTGCACTGCCATGGCCAAGGACCCCATCCCTTGGTAGTGGGCAGCTCCTACCTTGAAGAGCTGGTCCACTTGGCTTTGGCATTTAATGTACGCCTCATAGTCGGCAAACACCTTAAACCTGAAACCCAAAGCAGAGTATGGTTAGGGTTTTGCCTGCTCAAGGGTCTCAGCCTGGTGGGACAAGGTAGCATAGACACCTTCCTGCGGGCAGGGCTTAGCCTCTGCGTGAGGGGACCCCAGCCACCTGGGAAGGAGGCCTGGGCAGGCTGAAAGCAGCCCACCAGAGGGGATGCTTGCCAGGACGCACCTGTCATGGTACATCAGCATGTTCACGACGTCCCTGAAGCAATCAGGGTCTCGAGGGGAGAAAAATCCGCTGCTGATCTGGTCGATAGCCTGTCGCAGCTCTGGCAGGCGTTCATAGTACTCCCGCGCGTTGTACCTGCACCCAGCAGAGACAGGCTGTAGGGACTGATGCTCTGCCCTGGGGCCCAGCACCCGGAGAGCAGGACCTGGCATGTCTGGGGCAGGGAGGGCAGGCAGGATGTCCTGTTTGCTCCTGAGGAGCCTTGTTCCTGGGCCTGTGTTCATCAGAGCACCCTGCTAGCAGGTCCAAGACCATCTGCAGTGCCTGAAACACTTTGCACCCAGGCTCACATCCCCTTCACAGCCACTGTGCTATGGGCAAGCTGCCTGGGCGACATCCTTGATGGACCATCCACTGACCAGCCCAGGGTGGAGGCTGCCTCCAGCCCCTGCTTTTTCCTGCTCCAGAGCTGCCCAGGGAGAAGGGTGTTCCTCCCAGAGCTCATGGCTCTCCCTGTCAGAGCTGGGAGTTGTATCCCATCTGACAAGCCCTAGCATGCATTGGGCTCTCCCCAGCACCAACCCTTGGCGATCCAGGGCCTCCACGTCCTCCACCCGCATGCCAAAGATGAAGAGGTTTTCTTCGCCTGCCTCCTCAGCCATCTCCACATTAGCCCCATCCATGGTACCAATGGTGAGGGCCCCGTTCACCATGAACTTCATGTTTCCAGTACCCGAGGCCTCCGTGCCAGCTGTGGAGATCTGCTGGGAGAGATCCGCTGCTGGGATCACTGCCGGGTGCAAGAGAGATAGGAGTTAATCCATGGCACACTACAGCTCCCCACAACTTGGGCCCAGGACAGCAAAACACCCTGGGCATCTGCTAGTGGCCCTGCTGACCTCAACCTCAGCCCAAACAGTGCGGCTCTGGGGCCAGAGCCAGGCTCAGCCCTGCTGCTGCCCCATGCAGCTGTTGTCACTCCTGCACGAAGCTGGCTTCCTGCCCTGTGTGGAGCCCTCAGGCCCTTCCTAAGGAAGAGCCAGGTGACCTGCCATGATAACCTCTCAGGCCAGCCAGTTTCTGGGCTCAACAGGGACATGCCCGGTTCCTGATATGTGCTTACACAAGACCAGACGTACCCTTCTCAGCCAAGGATACCCGGTAGTTCTCCAGGAAGATGACCTTGAGCCTGTCCCCCACATAGGGATCGTTGTTGATGACCTCACCGATGGATGTGATGAGTTTGATGATCATCTTAGCCATGTGGTAGCCAGGGGCCGCCTGAAGAAGAGCAGCCCAGAAAAGGTGAAGGCTTTTAAGGAAGGGAGAACATGAAGGGTGCCAGTGCAGATCCTCACCACAGGGAGATTCGGCCTCACCTCTGCTGTTCACAGAGATCAGCAAAAACACCCTACTGGGATTCCTGAGCCACAGGTTTTTTTTTCTTTGGACTGAGTAGTCCACAAAGGTGTTTCCTGAAGAGCCTGCCAGCAGACATGTGCTGGCTAACCTACAGGGGGCCTGGCAAAGCCCCAGAGAGGGGACAGCACCTTCCCCACATCCCCACTGAGCCACGCATGCACAGAGTCTGGAGCACATGTTACCTTTCCTCCAATCATAATAGTCCTGGGCACGAAGGATTTGGATGGACTGCTTCTGATGCCTGAAAGAGCAGGAACACAACTGAAGTGAAGATAAACTGGACAGAGTTTATTGCATGCATTAGAGGTGGGCTGGGATGCCAGCCCAAGTCACATGGACCCAGCAAACTTGCAGGACCCTGAAGCCCAACCAGGCATCTGCGGGATCTATGCTGAGCAAAAACAGGCTGCAAAGTCCTTGGAGAACTACTCAAGCCAGCACAACACAGAGCTCCAATGACTTGTCTCCCTTTGGGAATGGCTAGGGGCCCCAAGCATAAACTGGGGAGTGGAGTTTTAACTTGCAGGTCAGTCCTAACACCTGCAGTACAGGTGGGGGGGTTACCTGGGCCCTGGGACCCAGCTGGGCAGGAGATGTGGGCTGTGACCTCTTCCTCAGAGCTCTGCATGACCCCTCAGACATTGTCTTCCCTCCTGGAGAGAAACCCCTCATGACAGGAGGGCAGAGCTAGGCTCAGGAGTCCTTCACCACCAGCTGGCATACCTTTACATGGGAACCCTGGCAGTGAGAGGCTGGGAGGACACCCCATGCCTGTCAGCCCAGGCGGGACTTACGGTTGTAGAGAGTGATAGCATGCAGGCAATTCAGCAGCTGCCGCTTGTACTCATGGATTCGCTTGACCTGAACATCGAACATGGACGAAGGGTTGATCTTGACCTTGTACTGCTCCTCCAAGTAGGCTGCAAACTTCAGCTTGTTCTCCTGGCAAGAAAAACTGATGAGGAACAGGCACGGGTTCCAAGGCCTTGCATCAGAAGTGAGTGTTTGCTGCTGGGATGTTCCCGGGAGCATGGTGCCTTCAGTCTTACTCCCCTCACCCCACCTCCAGTGCACATTACCTGTTTGACTTTTGCCACATCCCTGATAAAAGTCTCATTATTGATGAAATCCAGTAGCTTCTTCAGCTGGCTCAGATCTGTGATAAAGCCTTCCCCGATTTTCTAAAAGAACAAACCAAGAGAGGGATGTCCCACCCGTGAGACACCTCATCCAGTCCACAACTGCACTCCCCCAACAGAGCTGACACAGTCCCACTGAGAATCAGAAGAGGCACTCTGGCCAGGAAAAGGGGCACAGTTTCTTAGGGCAAGGTTACTTCTTTATGTCATTGGGTAGCTCAAAGGTACAGGGGAAACAGGGCACTCGGAAAAACCCAAACAAATCCTTCCCTGTCTAGGAACTTTAGAGGGAGGATGCGTGCACACGTACCAGGGCCTCCTGGCAGCTGGAGAAACAGAAGGGCAGGACATAAAGATACATTTAATTGCAGGATGTTATTCAGTTATGGCATGTCACAGTGTGAAGCAAAAACCTGTGCTAAAGGGCCTGGTAAACAAAGGAGGCAGAACACGGGCAGGAGCTCCAAGGGAGCTTGTTCGTGCCTGTGACGCTGCAGACACCCCATTCCACACGCCATGGTACTGCCCAACAGGCTGTGTGGAGCCACTGCAAGGGCAGGGAACCACATCCAAACTCCTGCAACTATTTTGGCCAACTCTTCATCACTGACTTTAAAGCTCAGCTAGTCTCACACCCATGTGTGTGCAACACACGTGCTCCTCCCAGGCTGTCCTCACTTACACCCTCCAGGCATTAGCCTCAGCGCTGATCAGACCACACCACGAGGTGATCAGAGATGAACGGACCATGCTCAGCCCCTCGCTTGCGACTCACCTCGGCAATAACATCAGCCAGACCTGGGTTGCACAGCAGGAGCCAGCGCCTCGGCGTGATCCCATTTGTCTTGTTCTGAAACTTCTCTGGCTCCAGCTCATAGAAATCCTTGAACCTGGAAAAACAGAGAGAGCTGAACCACCCAGAGCTTCAGCTGGGCCCTCACTGTATGTGCTCCTGACTCAAGGCAGTCTCTGCAGATCTCCCTGTAATCAGTGTGAAGTCTCTACACTGCCTCTCACCCCCTTCCTCAGCCATAATGCCGAGCGTTTCACTATCTCCAAAGGGAGAGGAGTTAGACCTTGCACGCACAAGAATGAGACAGTCTCCCCAGCCTGCCGTGCCCAGCAGGGCAACCAAAGCAGACCATGATGCCCAGTCGCTCCAGGGAGCCCCCCAGGCTTGCAGGCAAAGCCCAGTGAGTGGAGAGGGTGGGTGCCTTGGGTGTCCCCCAACTCACACTGAGTTCTTGACAATGTCTGAGTGGATGCGGGCCACGCCGTTGACCGCATGGGAGCCAATCACGCAGAGGTGCGCCATGTTAATACGTTTGCAGTCACCCTCCTCGATCACCGACATTCTCCGGAGACGGTCAATGTCCCCTGGGTAGAGAGCTGCCACCCGCTGCAGGCGGGCAGGCAGAAAGAGGGACATTAGCAACCCAGCCACAGAGTCCAGGAGCATTCCCATCCTAAAGGCAGCCAGATCAAGACCCTCAGAGTTCCCACAGCGTGTGACCAGCCCAGTCCCTTACGTCCAGGTGCATTTGGTTGAGGGCGTAAATGATCTCCAGGTGACGTGGCAGCAGCTTTTCAAACATGGAGACTGGCCAGCGCTCCAGGGCTTCAGGCAGCACAGTGTGGTTGGTGTAGGCACAGGTCCGTTTTGTGATCTCCCAGGCCTGCGTTACAGATGGCAGGTTAACGCTTGGGTGCCCCGGCCAGGAGGAGAAAGGAAACCCCACATGAGGACAGGACAGCAGCTCTGTCCCTTGCAAGGTTCAGCATGGACTTCCCGGCTTTGCTTACCTTGTCCCAATCCACCTTCTCCACATCTACCAAGATCCGCATGAGCTCTGGGATGGACAGGGCAGGGTGGGTGTCATTTAGCTGAATAGCCACCTGCAACACAGACTTTCTGGGCTCAGTCCTGGTAGGGATAGGATCAGGACAGTGTCCTGCACACATCGGATTGAGGTGAGGGTCAGCCCCAAGCCTCTTCTCCTGGCACGCATCCCAGAAATACCTCCCAGGAATTGAGCTATTCAACCTTTGTAAGTTTTGCCCCAAATTGCAATTTTTTCCCTGGGAAAATAGGCCCAGAGATCACCCAGTTTTCAACGCAAATCGCCAGGGTCTTTGCATACGTGCCCCCATCTGGTCCTGAGCATCCTGCTCTCCCTGATGACAGGCAGGTCTGGCTGAAATGCCCCCAGACTCTCTCTACCCACAAACTCACCTTGTCTGGGAAGGTTTCAAAGCATGTTCTCACAGGGTCTCGACAGCCAAATTTGGAGGACTTAAAGCGGCGGATGATGTCTTGGAGGGTAGCAGCCACCACAAAGTACTCCTGTTTCAGCCGCAGCTCCTTGCCTTCAAAGAACTGCAAGTGGGGGAACAGCAGCTGCCATCCCCAGCTGGCAGCCAAATCCCTGGAGATGCTCCTAAACATGCTGACACACTTCCCAAGAGGCCTCACAGGTTCAGGACCTCATCAGGGCAAATGTGGATGTTCCTCATACTGCCTCTGATGAGGCAGCAGCTGTAGGGACTAGAGAAGTAGCTCAGCATCCCAAACGGCTGCCTCCAGAGGGCAACAGAACCTGTCCCATCCATACTACTTCTACAGAGCAAATGCAGCTGCCTCCCTCACTGCAAGACCCTTTGCAGGACTTTTAGACTCCCTGCAACAGCCAGGAGACAGTGTCTCTGGACACACTAGCTGCCTCCCATGCATGCTACACATCACGCTGGTCTATTTTAAAACACCAGCAGCAATGAGAGAGTGGGGGTAAAGTGCAGGAGATGAGCTTTTCCAGTACAGATGCTAATCCATGACTAGATAATGAGGGTTCTTCCCTTTCGGATCCAGTGCATAGTGAGTGCATGGCCTGAGACAGTCCCTGCAGTGAGAAATCCCTTGAACTGGGGCTGGAAAAGAGTGTCCCCTCATGGCCACCTCTGAAATGACAACTCACTTTTGCAAAAGGTTAAGTCATGCAATTGGAAACTGCCTTGAATCTGAAGGAGTAACATGCCTTCCCATCCTTGCAGCACGGAACACAGCAGCTATACAATATGGGCCAGACTCGCAGCTGCCATCAGTCAGCTGAGACTCTCTAGAGCCAGCAGAGTTGTGTCTGTTCACTGAGAATTACGGGGCCAACCTGTTGTATTAAGAATCCTCAAACCAGAAAAATAAACATCAGGTGGCCATGACCTTCCAGAGCTTGCAAACAAGGTGATACAACTACAGGAAGGACGATCCCGAGCAGCAGGAAAGAGAGGCAAGAGGATCACTCACGTTGTCATTGGGGTACAGGACTCTGGATATATTTTCTGCCAGGTTTCTGTCCAACACCGCCTCAATGTAGTCACCTACGTTGACTGCAGCGAGAGAGAAATAAACACAGCACTGCAGCACCTGTAGAGGTTCAGGCAGGTCCCTGACACTGCGCTTTTCCCTCATCTCTCACAGAAAGATTTGTAACAGGAACATTCAGGCTGTTATTAATGGAATAGAATGGGAATGTACATGTGTGAAAAGCACCAGAGAGACAGGAGGAGATGGGATAAGAGAAAGGCACATCTGCATGAAGTTTCTCCACACATCAGGAAGGACAGACAGAAACTGAAGGCAGATAGCTGGAGAAGGCAAAAAAAGGAAGCGAGTAACCAGCCATCTTGCTTAAGGACTAAGGAGAAATGGGGCAGCACAAAACTGCAATCACACTAAACTCCTAAAGGGTACAAAAGGCTCATCCAAAACCCAGCTTGCCACTGCGAATCAAGGATTCAGGAGACATTATGAGGACTCAAGAGCCACCACCCCTTGTCTCACACAAGTTTTCCTGGCAGGGCTGCTTGGGCACACACATCTCTGCACTTGCCAGTATGGAGGAATAAATCCAATCAGTCTGGTCTAAAACCTCTTCTTCTGTAACAGCCTAGCACTGGCACTCAGTATGTTAGTTGCCCTGTGGTCGCTCTTCAGTGCTACAATTAGAGCCTGAAAAATTCCCCTGAGAGGTCACAGGTAAACCCAAAGGAAACCAACAGTAAAGTGGGCTGTGCTGCTCTTTTCCTTCAGCACTGGGGGATGATGCTGCACAGACATGACCCTCCATGGCAAGTGTGGATTTGAAGCTCATTTGGTGACGTGGAAAACACAGTGGCAGGTGGTCTATCACTTGGGCAAGGCATAGGGCAGCTTTTGAGAGCATGGTAAGTGTGATGGGGATGGAAGGAGCACAGATGGGTGACCTGGTGCTCTGAAAGTGGTTGGACGTACTGTGATCCGTGGATGCGCGCACAGGGCTGTGTTTTGGAGGTAGCCAGGAGGTATGGATAAAGCAGGCCAGATGGAGAGTGCTGTGCCAGGTGCTATGCACACAGGAACAACTGTGTCCCAGCCTGGCCGGAAGAGAGGCAGCGGAGGGATAGCACTTACATTCTTGGAGGTTGAAGTCATTGGGCGCTTTTGCAGACCACAGCCTCATGGTGTTCACAGTGTTGTTCTTGTATCCTGGCACTGGTGTGTCATAAGGCATAGCAAGGACAATCTGCAAAAGGACAGTATTCCCCTCTGGTTAGCAGCACAGTGGCCTCAGAGAAGGTGGGAAAGTGGCTGAAACCTCTACAGGAAGAATCCAGAGGACAGTGACAACTCCAGGCTGTGGTAAGGATCTCACCTCACTAAAACACACTTGCTGAGCTTCACAGACTTCCCTGCTATCATGGGCACTTCCAGCACCCACTGGCAAAGCACTACTAGGAGAAGTAGAGCTGTCTTGAGCTTTACTGACAAACTGGAGTTAAAAGTCCCTCAATTAAATGTAAAAGAGAGATGCAAGCAACCTGATGACCTTCCTATACCAACTGGCATACCTATTATTTATTCACCAGAGCACTGCAAGCATCCTCAGCTGGCCACTGTGACTCTGTCTGTGCTGGGATAGGGCCAGGGCAGCTGGGACCTTTCTGTTTGCATCTGGGATTAAACTCCACAGCCCGAATACTGCCTGTTAGCTTTCTGCAGCCTGCCAGGACCAAACTCTACTACCACAGCACCCGTTCCCAGAGCAATTCACCCAATGGTTAAGGTTTGTTGAAACTGTCTGGGTAAATCCACTGAGATCTCCAGCACCCAAACTGAACATGAGTGCAAAACTCTTAGTGCAGTCTATGGATGATGCTTAAGCCTCAGGATGCTGCACATACGGCTACAGTGAGTAACGCTGGGGCTCCCAGCTCAGATTACACTAGCCAGGCAAGGCACGGGTGTGCTTCCAAGCTTGCGTGCTCCAGCTCACTGCTGCGCCAACATCTTCGTGCCTCTAGACCTGCCAAGCAGCAAGGCAAGGCACCCAGACCTCAGTGTGGAACAAAGAGGCTGAGGGCTTATGCCAGCAGAGCTGAACGTGCTTGCAGAGCAAGGCCCTGATCCTGCAGCACGGAGCCCTGGCCACCTCTCTGACACTGGCAAAAGGAGCCGGCATCCTCCTGAACGTGTCGGTGCGCACTGGCATGACAGCCCCACAGCCAGAGGCTGTCCCACGCAGAGATGCAGGAGGCAGCAGAGAACTGAAGGAACTGTGCTCACAGGGCAGGGAAAACCCAAGCAGATCAGCACGTTGGCCCTGAACAGCCTCTTTGTGCTGGCGTCAGCAACACCTCCCCTCTGGGGAGAATCAGCAAGGGCTCAGGCTCTCACAGCTGCTATTACCAGCTCCGAACATGGAAAAAGGCAGAAAGCCTGCCCTTCCTGAGCCATGGGACTGGGGCACACATCACATGAACTGAGCGGTGCTATATTTGGAGACTCTGCCTTTGGCTTTTTTGAGCCTTTCCAACTTGTTCGCTTAAAGGCACTATCTGAAAATTCACCTCCTTGTAGGCAGCAGTGTTTCCACTGCACTGCTTGAGATCCCTGAAACCCCAGACTACTGCCAGGGTCAGAAGAGGAGCACATGGAAAGGCAGTGGCACTCGCTCCCCAGGTGGATGTCTGCTTTTCCAAAAAGCTCTGGCACAGTGCCTCTACGCTGTGGTGTCGAACCCCTGCTCTGTATGTGTTCTGGGAACAGCCTAGGTCACTGCACAGCCTTCGACAACCAGGGTCCCTGGAAAAGGACCTGGTTTCTTTCTCCTCTGAGCGGGTCCAGGCGACTCTGCAACTGAGCTTCAGCTCTTGCTGCTGAAAAGAATGGCTTGGCTTTATGACTGTGTGCTCCTCAGATGGACAGAGCTGGCTCATCAGGCTGAGAGACCCTTGAACATCATGGGAACAAGGCTAGGTCATGTCCCTGAATCACAGAGAAATTCACAGTCCTTCCTTCCTCCATCCTGGCCAGTGTTTAGACAGGAGAGGCTGAAACATCTTCAGTCCTCTTAACAAATCTGTGCCTCTTGAAATGCCTCCCTCAGCTGTAAGGCTGGAATGCATTCACGATGCAGCAGCCTGTGTTCTGAGCAGGCACGTCCTCCTGAAGCACAGCATCACCTCCCAGCTGTGGGAGGTTGAAGAAGTGTTTGGTCTCCATGAGGCCACAAAACAAGGCCTCCGGGCAGACTGAAGACTTGAAACCACGCTTCCAGCCTCCCCCGACAGCACTCTACCCATCAGGCAGGCGGGAAAGAGGAACTTGCTCTGATCATGGGAGTTAAACACCCACGGGATTGCTCCATGGCCACTCCATGAGATGAACCTCCACCCACAGCAGCAGCGCTACTCCTGGCTACCGCTCACTCAAACCACCTACAAAACTACTGGGTTTGAGTGAGCGGTAGCCAGGAGCAGCGCAGAAGTAGCCTAGCACAGCTGCTGGAGATACAGTCCTCCTCTGACATAAATGCATGCAAGACTGTGGAGCTTCAGCCTGGGGATCAGTAGAGAAGGAGGAACCAACTGATCTGAAGTTATGGCTGTGACTGAATGTCACCTCTCTTTTTCCTCAAATCCTGCTGCAGCCATAGCCAACGAAGTCACCTTCGTAACTGCAAGGGTAGTAGAGAGGGTTTTGCCAGACTGGGAGAGAAGCAAAGTCTGATCACCTCAGGGAGCCTGGGGACAGATTGTGCCCTCCACACTACCCTGGCCTGTCCTCCCCCAGTCCAGCACTAAGTGAGATGTTGGTACCTGGGTGTTGATCCACTTCACACCCTCTGGGGTGTGATCCACATGGCCGTAGAAGTGCACGGGGAGCATGTACTCTGGCCGAGCTTTCTCCCAGGGATTGCCATAGCGTAGCCAGTCATCGGCCTCCTCCACCTAAAAGAGGCAAACGGGGTTCAAGTGATGGTTCATGTCTCCAAGTAAAGGCTAAACTAGACTCTCAGAAGGGAGGCCATTTTCAAAGCAAAGCTTTAGTAAGCTGGCTTTAAAAATGGATGCGCAGAGGCCTCTAGAGGACAACTGGGCTTCTCGAAACACAGATGACTGCATCCCAGCTGGTGTAAATACATCAGCTTCTTTGCACTTTGCAGAGCTGTACAGGTTTAAACCACCCAGACTGCCCAGACCTGTGCACTCAGTCTATCTCGAGGGCTTTACATCCAGTTTGATCATGACAGCGGGATATGTGGAATATATGTTCCAGGCCACAAACCACCCCCTGTAACCCAGGTCTTGCTAGGTTCCCTGCCCTCTGACAGAGACGATTCCTCCTCCCTGCTCATAACAGCACCAACGGGAGTGAAGCGAGTTCAGCAGAGCCACCAAGGCTGGTGGGCACCAGAAACCAGAGAGGCTGAGGCACTTGGAAAGATGCTCTGTGCCTGCAGGCATTTCTCTGCCAGGCGGGGGGCAGGTCTGAGCCACAACCCAGCATCGCCACCACCCCTGTTCTTTTTTAGGTAACGTTAAGCCAACTACAGTGGATGCTGTTTTCCCCATTTTCACCATTTATAGGGCCTAGCATTACAGCTTCTTTGTGGAGGAGGAAAAAACAATCCTCAAACCTCTCACCCTTCCTGACTTATGGAGAGATATTTTAAAAGGAAAAAAGGTTCTTTATGCTTAGAAGCAAGGCAGGTCTCCTAATGGAAACCACTTCCAGACATACACTAGGGAAAACTACCAGCTGGGGCAGTTTTTTAGCTTATTTTCATTCACAAAATATTACGACCATTAATGCTACAGAAGAATCCCTGTGTAAGCCCCAACTGCCAGCCTCCCAGGGAACCCACAGGGGCAGCAGCACCCCAGGCACTTGCATGTGTTCCATCATGTTTCAAATTCATCCTCCACCAGACACCTTCATTAGGTGTTCAGCCACATCTCCATCCTTAGCCTGACTCCTTGCCCACTCCCTGCCAGGCCGGATGGGACTCTCTCAGGTTGTTGCAGTTCCAACACCATCTTGCCAGCCTGGTCACTGACATGGATGAGCTTGCATGTGTCCCAGGGTGAGTGCCTGCCACACACGTCCCCCACTGCCCTCACCATTTCTCTTTGCTCAGGCAGAGAGACCCCTAATGCTGAGCCTTAGGGTCAGCACAAGCGGTATGAAGTGACAGCCCATTTAGCAGCAGCCAGGTGATGGGCTCAAAAGCCCAATTTATGAACAGCCCAAGGCACCGCAGCACCGTTTGTGTAGACAAGCCCTGTCCACAGGCAGAGGCGGCCACTGCAGCACGAAACAGAAGGAGAAGGAGTGACCTGAGTTTGCCAATGTACCTGCCAGCCACCGATGATCTTCTGATTGAAGATACCGAACTCGTAGCGGATGCCGTAACCATATGCCGCCAGCCCCAGTGTGGCCATGGAGTCTAGGAAGCAAGCTGGAAGAGCAGAGGCATGGTCATGCTGCAAGGAACCGCACCCGTCGCTCGTTGCACCTGCTATGGTGTGATGTGCACAAGGGTGAGGAGCTGCCACACTGATGCTGCTGGAAACATTTATTACTCAAAGGAA